GGGGGGGGGGGGGGGGGGGGGCGTGCAGCTGACCTCTTCCTGGGCAGGGGCCTCAGAACATCTCAGCCAGCCTGTGGTGATGGAGGAGCTTGCAGCAACGCTGCCAGGCTGGGGCAGGGAGGGACTGGGTAGGTTGACCCCTGCCTCGGGCCAGGGTCTTGTGTGGAAAGCAGGGGTTTGGTTTTTTTGGGGGGTTTTCTCCAATCTCTCTCAATTTGAGAGGAGCATTTTCCCTGGATCTAAGTGATAGGAAATGTAATTGGTTCTGGATGTCTTGGAGATTACCATGAGGATAAAGCTGTTGGAAATGATGCAGTCACTCCATGACCCCTTATCTTTGGGGAGCTGCTTCTGAGGGTGCAAGGAGGGAGATGAGCTTCCTTCTCCATGGCAGGGAGGGTAGTGACCCTCCAAAGAGGTTTTCAGGAGTCCAGGGAAGCAGCATCCTCCCTGGAAAGCGAGAAGTTGCTGAAGTTTGGAAAAGAAACCCAACCCGAAGGAACGGCAGAGGGGTGCTGCCTGCTTGGTTGTGCCAGAGCTGCTGTTTTGGGGAAAAACAGTGGGTTTGAGCAGGAGCTGGGGAGAGGCAGATCTACACAGGGCTGTTCCCCAGTCCCCCCCGAGCTGCTGCTAGGCAGGGGTGCCCGGGCTCATGGCGGGGTGGACGGTGGACCTGTCACCCCTGTTTCTGCCTGTAAGTGGTCTGGCAGGGCTCTGCCTGCACAGCAGGGAGGGCTGGCAGGGCATCACGTGTGGTTTGCCAGAGCGGGCTGTGTGGCTTGGCTCTGGACTCCAGCTGCGCTGCAGAGCAGAGCCACCACCTCGGGTCCCTTATCTGCCCTCGCAAGTCTCCCCAGTTATCTGCTCCATTTCCCCTTCTGTGGACAAGGCTTTCACCTTATCTCCACGCTCTCTTCCTCCATTTCCTTCTTTGTTTCTCTGCTAACTTTGGCCACAAAAAGAAAAAAACCACAGTGGGGTGAAGAACAGGCATGAGATCCGACTGCAGTAAGTCCTTCTGTGGGCTTGGGGGATGCTGGGCCATGCTGGGAGGATGCTGGGTGATGTTTGCCCATGCTTGGGAGATGCTGGGTGATGTTTGGCCCTGCTGAGAGGATGCTGAGCCATGGTCCAGGGATGCTCAGGCAGGTCTTGGGACTTGCTTGGGTGATGTACGTGATGCTCAGGTGATGCTGGGGGGATGCAGGGTGCAGGTCCAGTGATGTTCATGGGGCTGAAGTGATGCTTAGTAGATGCTGGGCAGTACTGGGGGGATGCTGGGGGATGCCAGAAGATGCTGGGAGAATATTGCGATGCCCGGGAAGGCCGAGCCCTGATGGGATGGTCTGCCAGCTCCACCTGCTGGCATGCACCGCCTGACACTGCAGTCCAGCACCCAGGCCCACCGCAGCAGCAGCCCCAAATCAGAAGACCCCCTATGGGAGAGGGTCCCCCTGAGCTGCTGGCTGCTGTGCTGGGGGAGAAGCTTCAAATTAGCTTGAAAGGTGAAGCTGAGGGGAGGGAATTGTGGGCACTCTGTGTTTGTGCCTCTCCATAGTTTGCTGGCTCTTCACCTGAGCTGACCCGGCTTTGCTCCCTGCTGCCTGCAACAGACGCTCATTGAGGCTTTGAAACCCAAGCGGCGAGAGCTTTTCAGGGCTTTTCCAAGGAGACGGATGGAGAAATGCTCAGCCAGCCTACCGGGATCCCCCACCCCCTGCCAGCTTCGGGCTCCTACCCTGGCTCATGCAGGGCTGCCCCGGCCAGCACCGAGGGAGGGGAGTGCCTGACCGGATCCCTGGCTTCCACGCTGAGCATCAAATGTTGCTTCTCAACTGGGATGGCTTGTGTTTTTTAGGATCTCTGCTAGCTGCCAGGAGGACAGGAGAAGGGAAGCAAGTCCCTGTTGCCCTTGGCGGAGGCTGACTGAGACAAGCAGGGCTTTCCACAGCTCCTCTCCTGTCCTTTAGCCTTCCGGTATGCTGTTGAACACCACAAATGAATGTGCCTTGGTTTTGGCTGGGATAGAGTTAATTTTCTTCCAGTACAATGCTGTGGTTTAGATTTAGTATGAGAATAATGTTAACACACTGATGTTCTAATTGTTGCTAAGTAGTGTTTATCGTCAGTCAAGGATTTTCCAGTTTCCCGTGCTCTGCCAGCGAGGAGGTGCACAAGAGGCTGGGAGTGAGCATGGCCAGGGCAGCTGACCCGAACTAGCCAAAGGGCTATTCCATACCATAGGATGTTGCGCTCAGTGTATAAACTGGGGGGAGTTTGCCAAGGGTGGGGGTCACTGCTTGGGGCCTGGCCGGGCATCGGTCAGCAGGTGGTGGGCATTGTACATCACTTGTCTGTCTTGAGTTTCTTTTCTCTCTCTTTTTGTTAGCTTACTTTTCATTACAACCATTATTATTATATTTTATTTTATTTCAGTTATTAAACTTCCCCATCCAGCATGTGGGCAAGGTGATTTCTGGGGAGCTCTTGGCAGATCCAGTCACCCCGTGCCATTCCACCGCAGGCTGAGTGCTTGCCATGGAGACTTGCTTTATTCATGACTGATTTTCTCTCTCTCTCTCTCCTGTTCAGGAAGGCCAGTTCACCTCTCCCATTGCATGCCCTGGTCAGGACGCCAGCAGCAACATATAAATGGCCTCAAAACGGCACTTGGAGTCTCTGGACCCCGTGATTTTCAACAAGCTACCTCGGCTGGAGACAGAGCCCGCTGCTGGCTTCCCTGCCAGCCTCTGCAAATCCATCCCTGTGCCCAATCCTGGCTCTGAAAACCATTTCAACTACAAGGGCTCCTACTTTGCCTGCCCGCTGCAAAGCCCTGATGTCGCTGAGCAGCCCCTGGCACGCTGGAGCCCGGCGGCCGCCTACCCGCACTACAGCACCGGTGCCGGCAGCCAGCCCGTGCCAGCGGAGGGGCCGCTGGCGAGCTGCCTGCTGTACCGACCCGAGAGCCTGGGGACTGCCCTGCAGCCCCTGGGCACCGAAAAGGGCAAGGACAGCCTGATGCGGGAGCTGCTGATGGTGAGGGAGAAGTGGACCAGCCCGCCGCCAGCTCTGGGACACCCCTTCCCGGTGAAGAAGCCGGTGGCGGTGAACAAGGTGGCCCCCCTGGCTGTCCCCAAGCCGGTGTACAGAGCCCCCGCGTGCTTCGTGGACCCCAGGATGGCTCTGCCGCTGGGACCCCGGGCCGAGAGCCTGCAGCAGAGACCGGGGGATGCAGACTGGGCTCTGCCTGCCGCCACCCCCGCCAGCCACCCTCTGCACCCTGGCGAGCCGCATAGCAGCACCGGGCTGCACAAGAGGGGTCCCCACTCCGACCCCAGCCTCCCGCCGCTGCACCCCAGCCTAGTGCTGCCCACCAAGGAGAAGGTGGGCTCCCCCATTGCCTTCTCCCCCTACTACACTGCTTTTGAGAAATACAGGGGCCCCCCTAGCACCCCCTTCCTGGAAGCCAGCTGCCCTGCCGCCCACAGCCAGAGGAAGGTGCCCGAGGTCCCCAACCTCAGCCCGGACCCCTGGCCCAAGCTCCAGCCGCCCGCCACCAGCCCAGCGTACCGGGAGAGGCCAACAGTGTGCTACCCACCCACCCACTACCCGCTGTCCCTCCATAAAGCTGCCCTCCTCTACCACCCCCCGGCTCCCACCATGGACACACAGCCCAGCACCCTGCCTGGTGCCTACAAAGGCTTCGGCTTTGTGGGCAGCGAGGAGCCCTTTCCCGGCTCTTACCTTAAGCCCCAAGCACCAAGGAGCTACTTTCCCAGCCCCTTGGACTCCTACATGCCGAGGGCAGCCGGCGCCGGCGCGCTGGCATCACCGCCTGCCAAGTCGGCAGCACTGCCGAGGGATGCTGAGCCACCACGGCGAGCCGGCTACTTGCCAAGCCCCGGCTTTGCCTTCAGCCCCGGCGACCCGGCTGTATTTGGCACTTCCTTTGCTGGCACAAAGCTGGGCTACGAGCAGCACCAGGCAGAGAATCCCCGGCGACAAGCGATGGTGAGGCACAACAGTGCTTTCCAACCTGTCTGTGCCCCAGAGAAGGTGCCTGGGGGATCCGGTGGGCTTGCACAGACATTTGCCAAAGGAGAAGGGAGCTGGGAGAAACCCAGCCCTGGGAAGCAGGAGCCCCCATACCCAGGGAGGAGAAAGGCCAGCCCAGCCCCCCAGGAGACCCCACGTGGGGGACCATTGGCTCCCATTATTGTAGGGAAAGGAGATGCCTGCAAGGCCAAGGAAGAAACAAAGGAGCTCATCCCCTCTTCTCCATCTGCCTCCCCCACAGAGAGGCTGAAAGACCTGAGGAACGGCGAGGCTTCTCCTTCCTCCCCACCCATGCCAGTGATCAACAATGTCTTCAGCCTGGCACCTTACCGAGACTACTTGGAGGGGACCGAGGGCCCAGCTCAGGTCCCCTTCTGCAGGGAGCATCTGCGAGGGGACACCCCACCCCAAAACATGGGGGGCAGCCAGGAGACCGCTGCACTTGGAGATGTTTTGACAACATCCAGCCCGCTGCCTGTGGGGACAGTGGCTAGCCAGGTGCTGAAGACAGGCAGCGTTACAGTCCAGAGCCAAGGGGAAAGCTGTTACAGAAGGGTCCCCAAAAAGCCAAAGCTTTTGCCCCGAGAGCCAGGGTCTCAGAAGAGCAACCCTGGTGGGGTGGGGAGTGGGGAGCCGGCCCCCGAGGACATGGTGCTGGACCTCAGCTTGAAGAAGAGACTGGTGAAAGCTGGGGAGACCCTGGGACCCATCGGCTGTGTGGAGGGGACACCGGAGAGGGAGGAGGTGGAGGAGAAAGAAGGTCCAGAGGAGAAGGCGGGGGTGGGAGAGGGGGCCAAGCCCCAGGCGCTGCCCTTGCTGCTCGAGGTGGGCTCTGGGGACAAGAGCAACTTCCAGAGCTCGGCCACCTTCATGTTCAAAAAATTCAAGATCCTGCGCTCCCTCCCGCCCAGCACCGTGCCCCCCCAGCAGCCCAGCAGCACCTGTGCCCCCCAGCCCAGCCCACCGCAACCAGCCCCCTCCAGCAGCACCCCCGTGACGCTGCTGCCACGGACCCACCCCACCTCCCCGCCGGCCAGCAGCCCCCTGGCCCCGCAGCCCGGCCCCCAGCCCAGCACCTCCGCTCTGCGGGGTGCTCGCCCAGACCCGCAGCAGCCCCCGCTGCCCGAGGCTCCCCACGTGCTGGGGGAGGAGAGCATCTCTCTGCCGGGGCCGTTCGAGGTCCCCGGCCCGCAGACCTCTGCCGGCCAGTATTTCACCACCCTGCACTCCTGGCTCTGCGATGTTATTTCCTGCTCAGTGTCCAGGTCCTCTCCAGAGCTGCTGCAGGAGTGGTTGAAGAAGGCAGAGCCGTCGGAGGAGCTCGGAGAAATGCCCAAATCCCCGCCCAAGCCCAAGAATGGCTCCAGGATCCCCGAACCTCAGAAGGCCACCAAAGGCAAGGAGATCTGGCTGGCTTTCCAGGACGTGGCCGCTCTCCTCACCAACCTGCTCTCTCAGCTGGAGACCTTCATGTTTGCTCGAAAGTGTCCTTTCCCCCACGTCGTCCGGGCAGGGGCCGTCTTCATCCCCATCCACGTGGTGAAGGAGAAGCTCTTTCCCAAGCTCCCTGGGGTCTCCGTTGACCAAGTGCTGCAGGAGCACAAGGTGGAGCTGCGCCCCACCACACTCTCGGAGGAGAGGCACCTGCGGGACTTGGAGCTGAAGAGCTGCAGCTCACGCATGCTGAAGCTCCTGGCACTCAAGCAGCTCCCTGACATCTACCCGGACCTGCTAAACCTCCACTGGCACAACTCCATCAAGCAGCAGCTCGGTAGGTAGCCCGGCATCTTCTGTGGAAGGACTGGTGACACCAGGGGGTCCCTGGGACTCTCCCAGGGAAGCTCCAGCTGCACCTTCCTCCCAGATCCTGCTCTTTGGTGGCAGCATCCATCACTGGAGTGGTCCCTCAGCATCCTTGTCCTACCAAGAGTTCTGCGCAGCAGAATATTTGGCTTTTCTCTGTCAGTTGTGGTGGGAGAAAGATTCAGCTGGAGGGTGGTGGTGGAGCCGAGGGGTTGTCCCTGCCTGCCTGGGTGAGAAGAGTCATCCCCGGGATATGGAGTCTGTCACCTCCAGGCCACCTCACCCCCTCTAAGGGCAGTGGGGTCTGGTGGCTCAGGAACACGCTGGCGTTGGGGCAGCATCCATGCCACATGCCAGACCTGCCACCCATGGCTGTCCCATCCCACTGGTGACAGTCCCACAGCCCCTCCCTGTCTGGACACCCTTTTGCTGCTGCTTGAGGCCATTGCCAACAACTTTATTTCTTCCAGGTTCAAGCTCGCAGGCTGACCAGCATCCCTCCAAGTAGGTAACTATTCTTGTCTGTGGTTTATATGTATTTGTAGGATTTGTATGTATTTTTGTGAAGGTCTAAGTGTATTTGTGTGTATTCGCCATGATGACGGGGAGCTTGGGCTGGCTGGGGAGGAGCACACAAGTGGATCTGTTGCCAAGGCTGAGCTGGGGGGGATTATTCAGGGTGGGGAGGTGAAGACCCTGCTGTCCCTAACCACTCTTTCCTCTCCCAGGTAGCCCTGGCGTGGAGGCACTGAAAGCTGATGGCAGTGATAGCCATGGATAGCACGAAGAAAAAGGAGGCACTGAGGAACATGTCATGGGCAACAGCTGAGCCACCCACCCGCAAGGATGGGAAAGGGAAGGTCCCCCTCATCCCCTGAGCGGGGTCCCCTCCCAGCAGCAACGCAGTCACCCACAGACCTGCAGGGAGATGCTCGGCTCCCACCGACAGAACAGCTGCACCCGAGGATGGGGATGGGTCCTCCTGGGATGCCTGGAGGCCACCGGCACCGCAGAGATCCTCCAAGGATGCTCCTTGGGGTGGGGGAAGAACAGCAGCAGCGACACACGGCCCAGAGATGCTCCAGGGATGGCTGGTGTACCTGCAGGGATGGCTCAAGCCTCCCACGGCAGCTGGGGCTGCATTTCTCTTTATTCATCATCTTTTAGTGCATCTCCTACCTCCATCTGTGACTGGCCAGGCTGCAGCCAGCAAACTGGGAGGGAACGGCTGGAGTTCCAGTGGAGCTGGAGGGCTGGAGTGGTGTTTGTACCTGCAAGAAGAGCATGGAAATGGCCACGCCACCATCCCCAGCCTTGGAGAAAGGCCGGCTACTGCAGAGATGATCTACCACGTCCCCTCCTCTCTCCTCTGACTCGCCTCTCCTGCTTTATACACACTGTTCCCATAAATGTACCTTCCTCCTAGTTTTTAATCTTTAAAGTGCTACAGAGACTTAACACGACATTAAGGGTCAAGGGAATCGCAACTTCTGCAGTTACAGGACTGATTTTTTTGTTGTTTGAAATGAAGACATTTTTAAAATGTCACAAATTTACCTTTATAAGGAGCTGCTGCCTTCAGATTTTTTTTTTAAATACAGTAATTTATACCTGTTTTTTTTTATTTAAACTCACGGCTTCACCTGTTTACTGTGCTGGACCAAGGCAGTGGGAGCGATGCTGTTCAGGCTGAGAGTTTCAGTCCCGATCACAGCTGGAAAAGGCTGCAAGAAAGACCGTTAAAGAAAACCAAACCACTTTACAAGACAGATCCCAGCCATTCTGAAGGAGAACATGGGAGATGCACATCTAGGGACAACCTTGACAGAGGTGTGGTGACTCTGGTGTGACCAGAGGAGCAGGAGAGGGGAGTGATGCTGCGAGACCTTGGAAGGGGAGATCCTTTCCATTCGGCAGGCGCTGAGGGGTTGGTGGGCATCCCAGGAGGGATCTCAGAGCCAAGGACAGATGGAATCCCCCTCGCCCAGTTCGCAGTGGCAGTACACAGCAGAGGCCTTACAAACTCGACACTCAGGTGTTTTTCCAGCTGATAGAGGGCATGGAGGAACAAAATGAGGATTATTATTATTTTTTATCTCACTACAGGAAATATTTATTTTAAACTAAGAAAATTGAGGGAAAAAAAAGAAAAAAAATCCCCTACCCAAACCGTACCAGAAACTTTTTAGCTGAAAGGTGTGTTTCCCGGCCTGGGGAGGCAGCAGGTGCTGCTGCCATATTTTCTGTGGGTGCCTTTCTGGTTTTCCACTGGGATGTACTGGCCATGCGGGGGAACGGGGAAGGCGGGGATGCTGCTGTTCTCGCTCTTCCTTGCCACGTCATATCTGTGCATAGCATTGTAAAGCGATTCAGAAAGCAGTGTTTGTTAATATTGTAATTTTTATATATATATATATAAGGTTGCAGGGAAGAAAGTTCCTTCACTTTATTTAAGATTTTGTAAGATTATGAATTTTAAGAGGTGCCTCGCCTGATTAAAAGGGTTTGGCTCATTTCCAAACACGCCGTGCTTCGGTCTCTGCTTGCCAGTGTGGGCATGGTGGGACCTTTCTGGGGACAGGGGGGTCCCACATCAGCACCCAGCATTGCCTGGCCAGCCGGGCAGACCAAACCACAGGTCTGGGCCCCCCATCCAACACACTTGCCTGCTTCTCTCTGCAACAAGCCATAAGTGACGTGCCCAGTCCCTCTGTCCCAGCATTGGAGGGCTGAATCCATCATCCAACCCGCTGTGGGTGCCCCGGGGTGCAGGGAGCCCCATGGGTCACCCGTTGGTAAGGGAGCACATTCCAGCAGCTGTGAGGAGTACGTCCTGAGCCCCCCGAGATGACAGCCTGGGAGGAGGGTGCTATGCATCAGAGCTGGACAGGAGAGGTGGGGTGCAGCAGGGAGGGGTGGCACCAGTCCCCCAGTGCTTTTCTGCCTGCTGCTGGGGTAATGCACCCCAAGTTGATTCAGCAGGGACCCCCAAAACACCCTACACCTCAGAAACACAAAATCTGCCTGGTCCCAAGAGCCCCAAACCACATTTTCCAGCCTAAATTATTTGAGCCCAGCAGGGCAACAGCACTGCCACAACCCCCTCCCTGCAAAGAGGGCATTTTGAGGAGCATCTGTAGTGTTTGGGGAACAACCTGCCTGGAGGATTAATGAGGAGCAGAGGAAAGCTGGGACCCCTCCAACAGGGAAGGAGCTTCACCTGGGGGAGTGCAAACGAGTATGGGTGTTAATTGGGAGCAGCTGGAATGGAGCCACTCCCCCCTCCCTGGCAAATGAGATAAAAGTGAAGGGCTGGGGTAGAGGCTTGGTGCTTTCTTCTTTTTGGGTACTGCCAGGTAAGGGGTGCTGGTGGGTTGGGAGGTTTTGCTGTCACTGGTGAGGTTTTCTGGGATAAGGTGGCTGTTTTGGGCAGGTAACAGCTGAGCCTAAGGCTGGTTATGGCCCTGCTCTGCACCAGGACCCTCCCTGGCTTCTCCTGGGTGATGCTGAGTCTTGGCACAAGATTTTCTGAGCTGGAGAAGCTCCAGTGCTGCTGGAGATGTTTTGACAAAGGGCCTTCAGGCCCTGTCTCTGGTGTGTGGGATGTTCTGGGGATGGGCTGGTGGGAGGAGCTTGGGGGGACCCAACCTAAAGCTCCTGCTCTACTTCTCTCCAGCTGGGCTCTCCCCATGGCCTCTCCTGAGCAGAGCCGGGGTGCAGGACCACCAGACCCCATGGACACTGCTACCCTACAGGCAAAAATGATGCTCCATGGTGAGAGAGAAGAGGCTGTGGCCACAGCCCTGCGTCCTGCTGCCTGCGTGGCTGCCAGTGGGCTGCGGTGCAAAGCTGTGCTGGTGCTGGCTATCTGCCTGTCTGCCACCACCCTCCCGTACAGCCTGGGCTCTCAGGTGGCTCTGCCCCAGCCTGCCCTGGGCTCTCTGCCTCCTGCCCGGGCTTGGCCAGGCTTGCCAGCCTCCCAGCGAGGGACAAGTGATGATCTGGGGGCAACAGATGGAGACCTGCTTGAGGAACCAGTAATGCAGCGGTGTGGGAAGATGCTGATGGGCCCTGTGGGTGCCCCAGGCTGCTTCCCGGGCCTTGAAGGAGATGTGACCTGTGGTACAGACATTGAGGGATGGAGCCTGGGGACACCAGCCACTGCCTCTCCCTTGGCAGCTCAGACCTCACCCCAGTGCCAGCCTGGATCAGGTCACAGGGAAGGGCTCAGGTTGGGCACAGCAGTGGCTGTGACACTGTCCCCTACACCAGGGCTTGACACAGGGGTGCCTGCTGCCTCAGCTCAGCTCCCCCAGACCACAGGTGACCACAGTCCTGCCTCCTGGCATCACCTGGCTCTGGGAAGCCTCCATGGCACAGGAGCAGGCTCGCATGATGCAGTGACCTCAGCTCATGTCCTTGGGCAGCCAGCAGGCACGACAGAGCCCCAGAGCCCCGCAGAGATGTCTGAGGGTACCCCCCGTGCTCAGGGTAAGCCAGCTGCCTGGGTCCCTGCTGCCTCCCCAGCAAAGCTGCAGCCTCCCTCCCTGCCCAGGACTGCCTCCAGCCCCTCTGCAGCAGCTGCATTGCTGGAGGTGGTGCCCACCCAGCTGGTCTCACCTGAAGGGGCTGCTGGGGGGGCTCATGTCCCATCTGATGCCCTAGCACATGCAGGGTCAGCATGGACACCGACGGGTACTCCCTCCCAGAGCCGCAGTACGGCAGACCAGCCTGGAGGTGACCAGGTGCTGGCCCTTGGGGCATCCCCTGACCATCTGGCTGTGCCCTGCAGAGCAGATCTCAGCCTGGCTGCGAGCTCTAAGCCTCCTGCTCCGGTCACAGCCAGCGATTTGTCTTCTCAGGGCAGAGCTGTGACAGCAGTGCAGGCTTCCAACAGCATGCCTGCATCATCTGGTCAGGCCTCAGTGAGTGGCTTCTCTGATGTCCAGCATGGAGCTTCTGTTGCTGGAGTCACAATGAAAAGATGCAATGGGCAGAAGGAAGAGGCAAGACCAAGTCCTGGTCTGCCTGACCTTGGTACAGGTGAGGACCACACCACTGCTCCTCACCTGGTGCCCCTTCCAGGGGTGCCCTCACCTCTGCCAACAGAAAGGACATCCAGCTCAACCAAAATGCATCCTGGTACTGTGTGGGTACGTTCTGCTGTCACACCTGAGATGTTCTGGGACATGGGGTCTGCTGGCACCTTACCGCATGGTGAAGCTGCTCTGCTGATGGACACTGACTTGGACAAGGTCGCAGGAAATGGGTCTGGACTCCCAGCCACTGACTTGGCATCGCCTCCCAGTGTTGCATTGGCTCGTGATATCAACCACCGGCAAGTGCTGGCTCCCTTCCTTCCTACTGCAGAATCTGGGGGACCTGCTGTCACCTCAGGGAAACCAAGTGATCTGTCTTCCCCCGCTGCACAGCAGACTCTGACACCCACCAATGCTGACCCTTCCCCTGCTCGGACCGGGCCCCCCAGCACTGCAGGTCCGGCTGTGCCTGGGGTGAGCTCTGCAGCCCCCGATGCTCTCTCAGAGACAGAAGTGACCAAAGCCCCCTGCAAGGATGGAGCTGATGTGGTGGATTCTCCCTCCCCAAGAGCTGCTGGTGTGACACATGGCTCCCTGCTGGGCTCACCTACCCAGGGGCCATCTCTGCATCCAGACCTCTTCCTCACAACAGCATCTGCAGATGGACCCACTGCAGGGCACCACCAGGCCATGAGGATGGCAGAGATGAGTGTGCTGCCTGGACAAGTGGCTGTGGCAGAAGCAGCTGGGCACAGTGAGCCAAGGACAGCATCGGTAGGACCCACTGCTGCTCCAGCAAGACCTCCAGGGCCCACCCATGTCAGTCCAGTCTCTGTACCTCCTCCCTGCTCTAAGAGCCCTGCTCCAGAGCACTGCTCTGAGGCTGTGCACCACACCAGCACCACAAGCTTGCCATCTCCATCCTACCTGATGACTTCTACTGGAGCTGGGCATGCTGCCAGCTCCTGGACACCAGCAGGAGTGACCCTGGATGCTCAGTCCATGTCCAGTCACTCTGTCACCTCCCAGCACCCCTCCACAGCCACAGAGCATCTCTCTGCAGCTGCAGGAGAGGCCTTCACCTCAACTGAGCTGATAATGATGGGCAAACCTGGCTCCCCAGGGGTGAAGCCCCCTGCATCCCACCCTTCTGGGCTCCCCTCTCCTACACAGACTCTGCCTGTGCGTGTGCTGCCCTTGCAGTTTCAGCTGTTGGGTATCACTTACACTGAGACACTGAGCAGCAGGACTTCAGAGAGCTACAGGGAGCTGGAAGAAGAAGTGAGGCTGATGGTGAGTGTGGGAGCTGGTTGGTGGAGATATTGGTGCTTTGGGGTGCAGCTGAGAAGCTACTGCAGCAAACTGTGCTGGGGTGAGGAGCCTGCAGGTTGCATCAGCCCTGGCTTGGTGTAACACCCACCTGGGCATGGTGAAGACAAGTAAACCTCTGGCACTGCTCCACCAGAGCTGGACTGGGATGCTTGATTTGAGGTGAGGCTGAACTCCCCTTGCCTCTGGCAGCTGACAGGACTATTGTACACTGTGATGGTGCTGGGGTATTCCCTCCTGGGTGCTGTTTCTAGGCTGATGGGAGCCCTGGGTATGTCAGCTCAGCCATGACCATTCCCAGAGGCCTGGTATGCCCTGGGGTCCCGGCATGCCCTACCCCAGGCAAATTGAGTGGACCTCCCTCAGTATTTATTGCACACCCCCTTCACCTAGGGGAGCTTGTAAAAGCTTCTTGGTTGATAGGTGGTGCTTTCTTTCAGCTCAACCAAATGCTGTCCACCTATGAGACCTTCCTGCAGGCAAACATCATTGAGTTTATGTGAGTATACAGCTCTGCTCCAGGGCAACAGATGGAGAGGGGTGGGTTTGGCTTGGAGGGAAGGGTTTGCCCAGCAAAATGCTCCAGGCAGGTCTTGAGGGGCTGTGCTCCTTCCCCAGGGTCATTGTCCCAAGGGATCCCTGGTAGAAAATTCCAGGTAAAGCCACCTGAGACTGCTCTTTGGGTGGGGTGTTAATGTGATGATGGGGCTCTAAAGCTGCTCCCAGAAGGGAGGTGGGCTGCCCATCATGTCATCTCCCTCCCAGGAAC